GATCGTTTTCAACAGATGTCCTGGGGATATGTTTCCTCACTGAGCAGCTCTGAGTCATGTCAAATAAAGACTAGCTATGGGAATGGAATTTTTCCAGAAACTGCCAGACAGGTCAAATAGTGGCAGTTCTCTGGGTACAGGGTTTTCTGGGGAGCCCCAGGCTTCCTCTGCCCCCTCCCACGGCTGCTAGGATGCTGTTTTTGCAGCTGTCATGATTGCTGGGCTGTTGATTTTTAAGGCTACCATGGAGCACCAGGGACAGACGGATGGGACTAGAAAACTTAAAATACCATAAAGCTTCCCTTTCTCACTGTAGTTTAGTCACTTTTCTTGAATAAACCCTTCTTGGATTATTGAAAGCCGTTAATTTCTAGAATTTGAGAAAAGTTGATTTTGACACTTTTCCCAGCGCTCTCATTGTTTTCATGGAGGAGCAGGTTTTTGGAAGTCCTTACTCTGCCATTCTGGGAGCTGGCTGTCCATCAGTGAAGTTCTGTGACCTCAGAAAGCACGTTGAGGATTGGGTTCATCAGCAGGAGGTGGGGCCAACCTCTGCTAAAGGGAAGGGGGCCACAGTGAGGCGACAAGAGTGGCTCTGGATCTGGCGATTGTGGGAGGCTCAGGAGTTGACCCTACCTTGGGGCACAGGGCCAGCCCAGTTCATCCCAGCTTGGATGTCTCCGGCCCTGGCTGTGACATCAGCATGAGAACTGCTGTGGCTTTGGGGCAGAGAGATGAGGGTCATACTAGCTGTGTGACCTGGGGCAAACCACTCGACCTCTCTAAGCACGTGTCTCCATCCGGGAAAATGGAGGTGATTACCCCTAGCAGTGCGGCTGCCGTGGGAAGGTTCTCCTTAGATGCCACCCTCAGGCAAGGGCACATGGAGGGATCTTTTTCAGGTTTGAATTTCTTGCAGTGCTCAGCCCAAGTTCAGGCATTTCATTGGTTTCTGGTCTTTTTACACGGTATAAGCAAAATACTAAGAGCCAGAAACTGTGTGCTTTGGGCTGAAACCCAAATGCTTATTAGCAACAGAGACACACAGGAGATCAGTGGATTCCCTGTTTAGCCATTTAGGTGAAGGAATTGTGGCACATCTACTTGAAGCTTCTGCAGAATTAAAAATGATGTTTGTGATGAATTTCTGTTGGCAACATAATGGCATAAGCATTTTCTTATAAGTAGAAAAAGAAAGAAGGCTGCATAATTGCTTCTATACAGTTTGCTCTCAGCCTTGGAAGATGTATTTAGGCAAAGGTTGGAGGAAATGTAACAAAATGTTCACAGGGCTGCCTCTTGACTGGTGGGATTGTGGGACATTCTCTCCTGCTTCTGTAGACTTCTTTTTAAACTTGGTGATTCTCTTCAGTGAGCAAGTATTGTTCCTACAGTGAGCAATTTACAAAATGGAAAAATCTCAAAAGCAGAAAATAAAATGAAGTGAAGTGGCTAGAAGTCTAAGAGCTACACGGAGGAGGATTAGATCAGCGGGGATTTTTCCATCTTGTTTTACACTTCAGTGCTTGATCTCTGCAAGGTTAGGTGACTTGCCCAAGGTCACATGGTGACATGGCAGAGGGGGCACCAGGACCCGGGTCCCCTGTAATAGTTATGACAGTGAGTGAGGACATCAGGCATCCCCTCGGAGAGGCCAGCCCGCTCCCCTTGCTGGTGGTGTCCGATGCTGGATGGTGATGATAATTGCTGGTGACAGATTCAGGAGAGAGTCCACCCCAGAGACTGTCACCCTTGGCTTTTTCGGGAAGGGTATGAAGGGCAGTGCTCTGGGCGGGCACGATTTTCTCCCAGTGGGGCTGGTGCAGAAAAGCTTAAATCAGTGGGCATTTGCCTTTGGGGACCCTGTGAGCTTCCATCCAAACTGCACAACCCTGGGTGATGCGTCCAGCTTTACACCCCACCGCTGGGCTCAGAGACATTCCCCAAATCCAGAGCCCGGCTTGGGTTTGGACTGTGGCTCTCAGACTCCAGTTTGGGTGCCTCTAGAGTGTGGAGTCCAGGGCCTGCTCTGGGGTCCTGATTTCAGGGGGCCAGCGGGAGGGCCTGGAACCTGGCCTGGACTCTGTATTTTTGACTGGTGCCCCCAGGGACCCCATGAATGGTCTGTGGCCGTGCTTTGCAAAACCCTGGGCTGGGTATCACCCAAGTGGTTGGTGCTTCAACAGGAAGGGATGTGGAATTTTGCAGAAAGACACGTGAAGGCGGCCCAGGGCTGGCGGGGGAAAGATGACCACCACTGGGGCTTCTGACTGCCTGTCCCTGGGCTGCAGGCATCACACACAGGGCCCACCTCGCAGGGCAGTAGGAGACACGTGGTGGGGGGGGTCCTTTCCCTCTGGCAGATGAGGAGACTGAGGGTCACAGAGGCTAAGTGCCTTGCTCCGTCACGTGACCTGTGTGAGCGCTGCACATCCATCTTCAGCCCCGCCAGCGCGAGGCTCCCTGAGTGGCACCTCCATCCTGTGGCAAAAGGTTGGACAGCTTTCCCGCTGCGATCCTGCCTGCTTCCCCGGCACATTTTCCTGGAGGAATAGTGTCCTGGGACAGGTTTGGATTAGGGGAACAGTGGGGGTGGGGAGGAGATTAGGTTTCCACCAGCATTTGTTGAGGGCCTACTACGTGTCCGTGATGTCGTTTCATGTCACCTGCGGTTCTGAGGAGGCTCAGCGACAGACGGCGCCGTGTGCTGCTTCTGGTGCCGACGCAGCGATTTCTCTCCACCTGGCCCTGTTGCCCCATTTAACCCTCCAGCCACCGCAGGGAGCAGGACCAATCTTGTCCCAGGTGACACAGGGGAAACTGAGTCCCAGAGGGGCCAGTACCCTCCCTGTGACCTGAGCCCAGTGTTCTCCCCAGGCCCATCCCTGAAGGCCACCTCTCCCAGCGCAGTCTCCTGTGGCCAGCATCTGGGGGTCTCCGGAGGAGTGCCGTGCAGTCAGGCAGGGGCCCCGCTCACCTGGGGCCCCCCAGAGCCTGAGCCATCCTCATTTCCCCTGGGGCCGAGTCGGGCAGAGGCCCGTCCAGGCAGAGCGCGGGCTGTGTGACCAGCAGGAGGGCGTGGCCCTCTCCGGCCTGGCTCCCTGAGCTGCACATGGCACCAGGACACTAAGCCACTAACGAGACAGATACAGGGCTGCCCTCACGGTCCAAGGGCCATCCCTCATCCACAGACAGCTGGGCAGTGCTTTAATTAGAAGGGCTCCGTGGCTGTGGAGAGGTGAATTGAGGCCAGCTCCTGTTTGTCAGCGCAGCAGGGATGGAGGTGTCCGGGCAGGCTCTTCTCCAGGGAGTGGGGTGTGGACAGGTGCCCTCCCCTTCTCAGGTGCTGAGCCGGGGCCGGCCCCCTCATTTACAGCTAGCGGCTGGGGGCGGGGCTCAGCACGTGAGGCCCTGGGTAAGGACAGCCTCTCCGTGCCTCGGTTCCTTAGACGCGACCCGAGGATGTGAGGGGCTTACCTGAGACCCCGTCTGTCTCCTGTCCTTCATGACTGGTGACGCTGTGCCCTCCATGACAGAGCAGCTGATTTATCGCCTTTAGAACAGTGCCCGACACACAGCATCCTCCTCGTCATCCTGGTGTCACTGTCCCCATTGTCGTCGGCATCCTCACCCTCACTCTTGTCACCACTAGCTTGGCCTCCCCAGTGCCCGGCACGGTGCCCGGCACGGTGCACCCCTGTTGTTGCCATTGTCATCACTATCATCATTGTCCTCCTCCTCCTCTTCATCGTTACCATCATATGACCGCTGTCATCATCATCCCCTTCCTCCTCCTCACCACCGTCCTCCTCCTCCTCTTCATCGTCATGGTCATCATCATCATCATCACCGTCCTCACCATCCTCCTCCTCTCATCACTGCCATCCTCCTCCCCCTCACCACCACCCTGTCTTCCTCCTCCTCCTCCTCCTCCTCATCTTCTCCGTCATGGTCATCCCTGTCACCATGGTGACCGTCCAGGTCGTCTTCACCCCATCCTCCTCCCCCTCCCCTGCTATCACCGTCATAGTTGCCATCGCTCTATGCACTCCCCAGTGCCCGGAACAGGGCCCGGCACATCGTAGGTGCTCAGTGGTTGCCTCTTGGATGGATGAAGGGTGAAGTAAGTGCCTGCATGTGCCAGGCACTGGGAGGGCAGAGATGGAAGACACCAGTGTTTCCCCAACTGAGGCACGAAGGAAGGAGATGTTCCCACCCCGCACTGCGGCAGTCTGTCCACAGAAAGGCAGGGGGACACCCTTGGAGAGTTTTGAGCCATCTGGCCCTGATGTCGGGGCCCTCAGCTTCCTCTTATCCACTTTGAGACCCTCCCCACCTGCCTCTGTGCTGCCTTCTCTCCTTCCTGCCCTGGCCTCCTTCCCAAGGCCCCACCCTGCCCCTGCTCCACTCAGAGGGAGGGGCCGGCCTCCAGCTTCTATCCTCCACATGGGACAGTGGGCGTTACTTTGTCACATGTGGACAATTTTACCCCACCCTGGCAGCAAGGCAGCCTTGGGCACAGGGCTGTGGGGAGGCAGCGTTCTGGCTTCGAACGGCCTCCTTGCCATGTCGACAGCTGGGCGACCTCGTACTGGTTATAGCTCCTGAGCTCTAGTTCCCTTGTTTAGAACATGAGTGTGGTAATGGCACCTCCCGTGGGTGTTTAGAACAGTGCCCAGCACGTGCTGACATCTGTCAGGCACTTAATGGCTTCTGTTGTTCGTTTATTCGTTCATGTCACAAATGTGCACTGAGGTTCTGTGCATCCGACACTGGGGTTCTTAGCGGCTGTGAATAGAACAAGCTTTAGAGAGTCTGTGAGGGGTCCTGCCTGCCCCCAGCTCTGCCCGCGGGCCGGCCACGCAGCCCTCCCTGCAGGGCTCTCTGTGCAGCAGGGGGTGAGGGGAGGGTGGCCCGAGTCAGCGCCCAGCCTGAGGCCACCCCCAGACCCCTGGCCAGGGTGGCAGATGATTCCCAGCCTGTGCCCCAGGCAGTGCCCCTTCCACAAACTTTCTTAGCAAAACACGACTCCTGCACAGACCAGGGAGGCCTGGCCTGCCCCGGCTAATTTCTTTCTTTACAGTCTGCCTCCAAGGATCCCTCCCATTTACATCCAGTTTCAGTCCTGTGTGGAATGACACCTGGAGAAGAAACACCAGAGGGGACCTCCCCGGTTCAGTCGTTTGGCCAGCAGCTACCCGCCCCTCCTGGACCCTGCATGCCAGGCTTGGTCCTGGGCTCCAGAAATAAGTCAGAGGCTGCCCTTGAGGTGTTCCTGCTGGTGTGGGGAGGACAGATGGTCCTGCACGGGAGAGCCAGCCCCTCCAGGGCAGATAAGGTGTCCTTTCCAGGGCGGGAGGGTGTGGGAAATCTCAAGATACAGGAGAGATGGTGCTGTCCTGCAGGGCCGGTGACAGTGGGCCTGTTGCCCCTGTGGCCCTCAGGCTGAGGGGAGTGAGGGCTCCGGGGAGGGCACACGGCAGGCCCATGGCACATGGACACCAGTGCCTCCTTGCCAGGAGGGTGGGGGAGACGTCATCAAGGCAGAGGCTTTGCACGCGTTCGGCCTGTGGCCCACTCACAGGCGCGTCTGGACGCCTGCCTTTCTGAGAAGGAGGTGGAGGTCAGGCCCCTGGGCTGCACCCCCGCAGAGCAGTCACTGGCTGGGGCTGCCCCTTATGCTGCACATGCTCTCCCCTTCCTCAGGGTCTCCTCCTCCCTCTGACCTCGGGGACAAGTCCTGCTCCCTCGTGACTGGCACTTACCTCGTCCCTTGAGGCCACCAGCCTAAGGGAGCCAAGAGGCAGGGGTGTCTTGACTTCACACGGTGGGTCCCTCCGCTAAGCCCGAGGCTGGGGGACAGTGGGTGAACCCACAGGTGGGGTGTGGAGCCGAGGAGGGCGCCAGCAGTATCCGCAGCTGGCAGTACAGCACATACAAAGTCCCTGGGGCACAAAATAGAAGAAACGAGATTCGTGTATGCCTGTGACAAGCTCATTTACAACATTTGTAGGGGTTCTTGGAAACCAAAAGGCAGAAATCAAAGACCAGGAGGGCCCAGGAGAGGCCCCAGATGGTAGGGAAGCCCCCGCCTGGCGTTCTGAGTCTGTGATCTTTAATGTGCGCCGCACGCCTTGCAGGGAGCTTTGGGTTGCTTGGTCTCCAGGACAGACCGGGGTGCGAGGTGTGAGCGTGTTCCCGGAGTCAGGCAGACAAGCAGGAGCAGGCTGGCTGGGGTGGCCGTCCGCCAGGGTTTTTCCACTCTGCCCGGAGACACCTCGGGCTGCTGTTATGTAAGGGAGGGCCTGGGAGCGCCGTGGTCTGGGCTGTGTCAGTGTGTCTGTGTGCGTGTCTGTACGTGTCTTCCCGCAGGTGCTGGCTGTCACCTTTTTAGAAGGAGGGTGACACGGAGTGGTTTTGTGGCAGCAGATTAGTTTGATGGCCCACGTATTAGTTGTGTGTCCTTGGGCAAGTGACTTGGCTGCAATCCTTTAATCCTCACCACTCCGCGAGGCTGGTACTATTATTACCCTCGAGTTTCCAGCGAGGAGGCGGAGGACAGAGGCTGCGTGCCAAGCACGGCCCCTCGGTTTTTGTAAGTGTCCACATTTAATGCAAGTTCACTGTTAGTGATTAGGGAGGGAGCGAGTGGGCTTCTCAACTTCTTCCGCTTCATCTCGCTTCCTTTCTGTTGCTCTCCAGAGCGCCTTGGGCCACAGGTGTGCGTGTGTGCACAGTGTGTCTGCGTGGGTGTGTATCTGCACGGGGGCCGTCAGCATCATATGTTGGGCTGCACTGTGCAGCCACAGCCATGTCCCAGGCCTCGCCCCACTGCTGCTGGGATGTCCCTGAGGTCACAGAGCTGATCACGTCCCTGAGCCCGAGTTTTCTCACCTGTGAAACGGACAGGACCGTCCCCGCGCAGCCATCCTGGCGCACGCGCGGACTGTCCATGTCTGCACTGGCGTCAGGGCTCTCCTCGGGTCCTTGCTGGATGACAGGGTCGGCGATGGGGTCTGTGCGGATTTGCTCTCTGAGTCCGGTCCCTGTGCAGGCAGCTAATAATCTCTCTCATGTGCTGGCTGTGAGCTCAGTGCGCACCAGGTGCTGCCTGGTATCCCTGGCGTCAGGCAACACGAGTCACTTCACCTCTCGTGTCATGGCCACTGCCCATCAGCAGGGGCTCTGCTCCACGTGGTCATTCAGGACCCGGGCTTCTGGCACCCCGTGGCTCCGTCCTCTCCGAGACGCTGAGTCCTGTCCAGGCAGAGCCGAAGGCGGGAGGGAGAGAATGAATGAGTATCGTGAGGCTGGGTTTATAGGCCCCCAGGCCCGGACCCTGCTAGCTGGTGCCGAGTCCCATTGCCGCGGCTCCTTGTGAAGGGCTGTGTGCCGGGGGCAGGAGGGCCCATGTGTGGGTGGGGGTCAGCGGGGGGCACCATGGTCTCACTGGAACTCACCCCTTCCTGTTGACAAAATGAGCATCTCACAACACGAGAGGCCCTGGAAGCCGTTTGCTGCCGTCAGACCTAGGAGTGCAGGGACCTGGGTGCGAGGTGCGAGCATGTTCCCGGAGTCAGGCAGACGCGTGCTTTGGACGAGGCCTGGTGGATGGAAGAGAGGGGAGAATTTCACTGGGGAGGGATGGAGGAGACAGGAGGAGAGGATAAGCTTGCATCAATTTCCCTGGCAAGGCGGGGGGGGGGGAGGGGCGCTGGGCAGCACATCTGGAGTCCCCCGCCAGCCGAGAGCAGGGAGGGAACCCAGCTCCCCCTGACTCTGGGGCTTGCAAAGAGAACACCCTTGCCCCCTGCTGCGGAGATAACACCACTCGCTGTGCAAAGGGAGTTCCCTGTCCTGCAGAGTGAATGGGTGTCTGGCACAGTGCATGCCCTCGGTAGATGGGGGCTGGGGCCACAACCATCATATTGTTGTGTTTCGTCAGTGCTGTCATTGGTTGATGGTAACTTCTGAGGACTTCATCACATGACACGTGTTGTCTATGAAAAGGATGAATGGCTTTTCCCTGACGCCTTGGTTCTGGACGCAGTCATGTCCCTGGGGAACCGAGGGCGACCACTGCGGCGAAGTTCCGGCTTCTGCAGTCTCCCGAGTGCCCGCTAGAGGGCGCCCTTGCATTTTGGTCGCTGAGGCGGTCCAGGTCTCTTGGGCGAGTGGGCCTGAGAAGAGTGAGGACTGTGGGCTTTAACCATAGTTTCAGCCCACGAACATTTCACAGGACCCTCTGCAAAAGCAAACTTACGTGACGGATGGAGGACTGCTCGCCTCTTCCTGTGTGCGGTTCCATCCCTCTGTGCGTCCAAGCCTGAGATGTCTGAGTGGCTGGGGCTGGGGGATGGGACGCGGTGTGCCTCGACCCAGTCCAGCTGCTGAGGCCTGTCCTGTTCGGTTCGGAGCCGGGACCCTGGTAGGGGCCTCATCAGAGCCTTGGCAGCCCCGTGAGACGGGAGGGGCATTGCCACCTCCTGGATGGAGGGAACTGGCTGGGCCCCGCCCTCCTCAGAGCCTTGTCTTCACCCGCCTCCCAGAGGGGCTCCGTGGGGCTGGCCCGGGCCACAGCCCCGGGTCCAGGCTCTTCCCCACGGTCCCCCACCAGCTGCGCCCCCAGATCTGGACAACAGTGGGCCTTTTGTTGCTGGAGGTGGCCCGTGGCTGGTTCAGGGCTGACATCTGTCACCTGCATCGAGGCCAGAATAGTTGGTTACGAGAGGCCCACCAGGGGAGTGGTCCTTGGGGGGGAGGGTGGGTGCCCAAGCCACGTCCCCACTCCCGAGAGACCCACAGGCGGGGACGTGGCTGCTGCGAGCCTGGGTTCTGCAGGGCGGCCCCAGCACCCCAGGCCCCTGGGGCGGAGCCGGTCCTGGCCACCTCACGCCTTCTTCCTGGGACCCCTCAGAGCCCCTGGGCCCCCTATCCCCACCTCCATCATCCCCCGAGGCCCCGTTTCCCCGTGTGTAAAATGGGAAGAGGTTGGCTTTAGAAATAACGTCTTCCTCCCGCTCTTTATTGAGGTAAAATACATGTAATGCAAAACTAACCGTCTTAAAATGCATGGATCAGACGCACTCGGAGCCTGAACCGTGCCATGCAGCCCCCGCTTCCGTCTAGAGGCTCTGACCCTTCTCCTTCTCTAGACTTGCCCATTCTGGGTGTCGCACAGAAACAGAATCACACGGTGCCACCTTTTGTACCTGGCTTCTTTCACTTTGAATGACGTCTTCGAGGCTCAGCCATCCTATAGTAACTAGGTGTCTAGTTCCCTTCCTTTAAAAAGGTTTTTTTTATTGAGATATAATTGAAATATAACATTATCTTACTTTCAGGTATATGCCATAACAGCTTGATATCTGTATACGCGGCAAAATGATCGCCAACAGTGAGTCTAGGTGACATCCATCACCGCACATAGTTACAAGAACTATTTTTCTTATGATGAGGACTTTAAGCGGCTTTAAAATATGCAGTACCATGTTATGAGCTGTAGTCACCGTGGCGTACTGCACAGCCCCATGAATTACTCACGTTATAACTGGACGTTTGTCCCTTTGTCCCCCTTCACCCACTTTGCCCCACCCCCTGCCTCCAGCAACCCAGTCTGTTCCCCATCTATGAGCTTGTTTTTTGTTTTTTGTTTTTTAGGTTCTCCATACAAGTGAGATCGTATAGTATTTATCGTTCTCTGTCTGACTTATTTCATTATATAACGTCTATTTCTGTTGTCATAAATGGCAACACTTCCTTGCCTTTTATAGCTGAGCAGCGTTTCATTGTATGTATGCACCACATTTTATCTAGTCACCCATCGTGGACGCTTAAGTTGCTTCTGTTCCTTCTTCAAGACTGAGTGATACTCCGCTGTAGGGACGGACCACACTTGGCTAATCCATCCATCCATCGGGACATCTGGCCCGTCTGGGAGCAGCAGCCACCGTGAACCGGCGTGCACACGTATCTGAACACCTATTTTAAGTGCTGCTGCTATAAATCTAGGAGGAGAGCTGCTAAAAATAGTCTCTAAGGGAAGCAGTTTTCGGTTACTCGGGTCTGTGCTAAGAGTAGAGAACATTCCAGAGCAAACTGTGAAGTCGTGCTTTTACTTGCCTGTGGACTTTTGGGTGGTCCCCACTGTCTGCTGTGGGCGTCATTCCCACCACCCTCAAGGCCATCTGAGGGGTCCCCCGATGCCAGCCCCCCAAGGTCGTTGCTGGGATTGAAGGAGAAGCACATGGGGCCGCCCAGGCTGCTTCCTCACCCGTGAGATGGGGGTCACAACACATGACTGGATCCTCAGAACTCAGAGGAAGTGGGACCCGGCAGGTGCTGCCCAGAGCTGGCAAGAGCCCAGCTGGCGTCCGGACCAGGGCTCATAACAGAGACCGTCTGAGAGATGAGAGGTCCTCTGAGCGCAGTGTGGGGAGCGGGCACCAGGGGGTCTGCTGAGTGTGGGGGTCCCTGAGGCGGGAGGGCTCGGCCCTCACCTGGGGCCCCGTCCCGCCTGCCCAGCCCCTCCCCCGGACAGAAGGAGGAGGGCCTGTCACGAGCTGTTGGCAGAAACTGGTGCCTTGCAGAATTGCGTATTTTTAAAAATACATTTTTAGGTCTCCTTTCCCCCTTAAGACATACCATGAACGGAACCCAAAAGGGAACATTTTGGGAAGTTATTATTATTTTATACATAGTATAATGTATACTGTTATGTAACACTAACACTGACACTAAAGCTCGTAAGGGAGTTGCTCTTTCATTAAGTAAAACACTAAATCTGCCAGGTTTTCCCCCAGAGAACAGAGCCAAACCTGTGACTGAGCCAGTCACCAGGCCTCCAGGTGGCTCTGAGAGGGGCCAGGGCTAGGGCCGGAGTCCCACGGTTCTAGACAGAGAGCCTCTGTGTTCTCATCTGTGAAATGGGGTCATGGTCCCGTGGGGTGTCTCCCTGGGGGTTGGGGGCTGAGGCCTCCGTCCACGCGGGAAGGCCACACGGCTCTGCCTGGTGCCCCTGGCTGGCAGGGTGACCTCCCCACCCACTTGGCCTTTATTTGTGCGTCTGTGAAGTGGACGCAGTGGCTGATTCTTGCCCCAGGGCCTCCGTGAGTTGGAGGGAAGGTGGTCGGAGGAGGGCGAGACGGGGCTTGGGGGCGGGGGCCTGCTGTGCCCAGAGTCTCTCTCAGAGCCCCTCCTGCTCTGTCTGTTGCCCTTCCCCCTTCTCGAGCCTTCTGTACCCCCCCTCCAGTTCTGGGGCACCACGACTTCCCTGTTAGACAAACAGACGTCTGTCCTGACTTACTTTGTTTGGCCTGTGTGCCACATTTGAAAATGTTTCATTAGATGCCAATTAGAGCCCCCATTTTCAAAATCCGTATTTCTAGCTTCTCTTTAAAAAACCAGCAAACGGGGTCACCCTGGCCTGCAGCCCTGGGTGGGTCGCTGGGCTGTGGGGAGCAGCTGTGCTTTGCGAGGCCCCAGCTCTCCAGCTGGCCGTGTCTGCCCGCCTCCCCGCGCACAGCTCTGGTGCCCTGTTGGCAGGAGCCCCGTGCGGTGCCGGAGCGTGTGAGCAGCAGAGCGCTTGTGACCAGCCCAGACGGCTTCTCGTTATCTGTAGTCATGCTAAGACACAGGACATGTTGAGCGTTAATCCACTGCAATCAAACAGTGGCCAAAGCCAGAAGATTTACTGGGGGCCAGACGGGAGTGCCTGAGACCAGCCGACGGTAGGCAGGACTCACATCCAGGGAGGGCATGGCATCCCTGTTTCTCAGGACAGTCTCCTCCGTGGTGAGTGCATCCTCATGGTGGTGAAATGACTGCAGCAGATCCAGACATTACACTGGCTCCTTCAAGCCTGGCAGGAAAGAGCAAAAGCCTCACTGGTTCAGGGCTTGGATCAATCAGAGCCCACAGAACGCATCATCCCCTCTCGGGGGCGGACTGGGAGCCTGCATGAGCCCAAGCCCTTGTGGTGGGACCAGATGGAAATTCAGGCTCTGTTAAATTGTGAAACGAGTGGCTTGAGCCGGGGCTGCCACGGGGGAAGCCCTTTCTGATGAAGGACTGAATGCAGAGAAGCTTTGCAGACTGTGAAGTGCGGTGAAAGTGGAAGGGACTCCCTCGTTGCTCACGCCCCTCTACAGAAGAGAAAGTCAAGGCTTCCACGGTCATGGCTGGTAAGGGGCAGGTGGAATCAGAAGCAGCCTGTGGGACTTGCTGATTTCCACCCAGGAACCCCTGAGGGCCCTTTCCCCCCACCCCCACTCGCCACCCTCTGGGCCCCGCGGGGCCTGTGTTCCTGTTCCTTTTTGGTGTCTGCAGACACCTGGGTCTTGATACTCATGAACGCTCACTCGGGGGCTGGAGCCAGGCCAGCGCCGTGGGAGGATGGGTGAGTGGGATGCCTGTTACAGGCTGAAGTGGGGAGCCAGCCAGAAAAACAGGGGGGCCGAGGGCCCATCTCCAGCACCTCCCAGCTCATAGCCACCCTGAGTCATTCTTTAATGGAATTTGTGCCTATTCTAATTCCTAAAGCCACAAAATCCTTGCGTGTCCTTTATAAATATTTCATTCTCTTCCAGCAGCAAATTTCCTGATGCCCAGGTGCCCGTGTGGCCATCTCCTTCCCCGGCTGGGGAGGGGTAGCCACGGCCACTGTCACCCGGCCCTGGCCTCGATGGCTGCTCCTGCTCAGGGAAGCTGGGATCGCAGTGAACTTGACAGAGGACAGTGAGGAGGCCTGGGGAGGGGACGGGCCCTCCGTGGTTCCTCCGGGGCGGAGTCAGGGCTCCAGCCCAGGTTGTGCTGCGCCAGGGGCCAGTCTCGGCCCTTCCGCTGCAGTGTCCTGGAAGGGAGTTCAAAGCTGGGTCGATAGTTTCTGGCAGAGGGATCAGGGAGGGGCACTCCACAGTGGGGTAAGCTTTGCGAACTGTGAAGCATTGTGACCCTCTGAAAAGGCCATTTACAGCCTGCTGTTGATGGACGCAGATTCCCAGGAAACAGGAGGGAGCCGTGGACAGCTCTGAAGCACTGGAGTGTCAGGAACGAGGCTCGTCTGCGACCCATGTTGCCCGGTTGACATGTTCGTTTTTCGCAGCGAGGGGAGGCTGCTGGACACTGAGTGACACACTGCCCAGAGCAGGAGCCGGGCTGGGAAACCTCTCCTTGGACCTGGTGGCTGTCAGGCCTCCGGGAAGTCTCCTAGGAGCCAAGGGAGCACGGGGCATCTGGCAAGGGGGTGCTGCCTTCCAGCACCACTGGCTCTTCCGGGAGCCCCCGACCCAATAGAAACGATTCGTTTGCTGCCCTCCTTCCCGGCCTCTCCGCGAAGAGCCTATTCGTTTTGTTTTATTTTGTTAGCTGGCTGCAGCCAGGAGACACAGGCCGCTTCTCTGCACAGCCTCTCCCAGGACAGATCAAAGAGACCCACCAAGTCTGTCAAAGGGGCCGTGAAAATCGGGCTGGTTGTTGCAGTGTCTCGGGCAAAGCTGGCCCCAGCTGTGCGGGCTTGGGGATTGGCCAGGCCTTCCAGGCTGGCCTGGAAGACGGGGATCACGTACACGGCGATGCATCCTCCTAAATCCCGAGTGCCTCCTCCGCGCTGGGCTCTGGGGTCCGCAAGTCTGAGCCGGGAGTGGGCTTTGCCCTCCTGGGAGCTCAGCCTGGCCAGAAGGCAGCGCAAGGAAGGAGGGAAGGAGCGAGGGAGGGAGGGAGGGAGGGAATGACTCCTGCCGACGGGGCCCAAGGTGGCCACAGCTCTGCCTCGGGGGCAGGTCAGGGTCTGGGGCTGAGTGAGAAGCACAGTCCTGGTGGCGGAGCTTTCCTGGGGGTGGGGGCACATGCCGGGCGAGCCAGCTGAGGCCCGGCGCTGCGGGCAGGCGGCGGGTCAGCTCCGTCGTGCTTGGGCACGCCTGGCTGAGGACCCACCCAGGCCCCAAGTGCTGGAAGGCGGCACCTGGCATCTGAATGCCGTCCTGGGGTGGGCGCCCAGCTCCCAGGGCCTGGCTGAAAGGCTGCAGAGCCCGGGTGAGTGCACAGATAGGTGCCCGTGAACCTGGGGTCATTTCTGGGCGGCACCTGTCTGCTGGGCTGCAGTGACAGGATACCACAGACTAGGGGGCGTAAACAAGAGACAGTTTGTCACAGTGCTGGAGGCTGGAGTCCAAGATCCACGTGACAGCAGTTTTGGAGCTTGGTGAGGGCTCTCTTCCTGCCAGCAGACACAGCCACCGTCTCGCTGTGTCCTCACAAGGCAGAGTGCACAAGCTCTGGTCCCTTGTCTCCTTGTAGGGCACTGACCCATCCCGGCCCCACCCTCATCACCCCGTCTAAAGCCAGTCTCCTCCCAGAGGCCCCACCTCCAAACATCACCCCCTGGGGGTTAAGGCTTCAATATATGAATTTGAAGGGGGCCATGCTGGTCACTACCAGGCTCCTGCCGGGCTGGGGAAGGATGACCCCGCCTCTTGCGGAGTGGCCATGAGCTGGTCTACTTCCCTTCTCCAGCCTCACTTCCCACATCTGTCCAGCAAACTGAGTGGCTCTGCTGAGGTCCCAGAGCAGCCGCCCGGAGGCATCTGTGTGGGGCTGCCCGGTTCCAGCACCTCTTCTGCACCCCGTGCACGCCTCTTAAGCCCCGTGTGAGTCAGCCTCAGATGTCTCTTTGCCAAAAGGACAATTACTCGTTGGTGACGACGGAAGGGTGAGCAGCACGGTCCTAGCTGGGGTTCCTGACGTGGCGCTGGGGAAGGGGAAGCTGGCTTCCAGTGCCTGGGAAGATGGGGGTGAAGGGAGCCTAGGGTCTCGGAAAACCAGACAAGGACGTGGCTCTGAGCTCCTGGGACTGGTCCTCACAGGTCGGGTGGGAGGCGACCGGGAAGAACAGGCAGTCAGCCTGGGAATCCTCGGTGGCCTTACGACACCCACGCCCTCATCCTGTCCAGACCCCCGCCTCCAGGCACAGGGCGCGGCTCTGTGTGCGGCTGGCGGGAGCCCCTTGAGAGAACTCGGGGAAAGCTGAAAAGCCCCCGTGGACCCCCTGAGCCGAGCAAGGTCCTGGTGCACAGTCGCTGCTCCGGCGGTGCCTGAATGGGTGACATACGGAAAGATGGATGAATATGGCTCCCGGCCCACGGAGGCCAGGCTAAACTCACTCACTCACAGGCGACAAAACCAGTTTTTCAGGACCCGAGCTGGCACCAGGTTCTGAGAGCGCATGGGAGATTTGCACCCCGTTCTCCTCTTGAGAAGGAGAAGCCGCCTTCCCCCGTGTGCGTCGGGCACAGGTGCCTTTTGTGTGTTGCGCGCTGCGTGTCTTGTGCCTGTGACCTGCGGGCATCGTGTACGCGACTGCACCACAAGCACCATCTCTGCGGTCCGTACATCCGTGTGGTGGACACGTCCTGTCCTGGCGTGCGCTCCGCGTGCTCCCGTGTCCTGCACAGACACAACGTGTGATTGGGGGTGTGCTGCGGGCACGGTGGCTTCCTGAGTATTGGCTGAATATATAAACGGTGTGTGTTTTGTGCCTGTTTGTTCCACATCCATGTGAAGTCATTCTACCCACATCCATCTTTCGCAAAGCTCCAAGCGTACGCCACGTGTACTTGTATCAGGCGCCCTTAGGTGCTATGTCCGTGTGTTCCATTTAGATTCTTGATGAATTTACTGCATGTAGACTTGATATGTGTAGACCCGTTTGCACCCAGGGCCCAGTGTCATCTCAAGCTTCCATGGGAGGCAGATCCAGTGGAGAACACACGTGGTGGATCAGCGAGGTTCTCTGCAGGAGGCAGTGCTCTCAATGTGAACAGTCAGTCAGTGGGCTGGTGTGAAGAACGCGGGCAGAGCAGTGGGAAGCAGGCAGGGAAGGTGCGGCCTGGACCAGCAGTGGAGATGCTGGCTGGGGATGGAGAGCTGTCACTCAGCGTGCCTGGGGCGGAGCTGCTGGGCAGAGTTGTAGAGGAGCGCTATGTCCTGAACCTGCCTGCAGCTGTCACTCATGACCAAGGTCTTCCTCCCACTTCCTCCTGGGGTCGTCCCTTGGATGAACGCAACTGGACACTGGAGGGCCAAGAAGGCATTTGATGTGGCTCATACAGACTAGCCTCCCCTGTGGACAGCAGGGTGTGTCTAGATGGGAAAGTTGAAGATACCGGCACAGCCCCCCCTTTCCTGGAAGGCTTTGCCAGTTCTTCAGCTTCTCTCTCCCTGCAGTGGGAACGGTCCTGTGCCTCAGACCCCTAGGTCCCTAGATTTGCTCATGTGAAAGGCCCTGAACTTGGGTGGTGTTCCTCGCCCACCAAAGACACTCTCATGCACCTGTCTTGCTAAGGGATGTCATCGCTGTGACGGGCCAGTGAGATGCACTGCGGGGCATCCACATGACCAAGCCCTTTCATTCTGTAGTATGAGGGGCGGCCGGCGCAGTGACAGGCCTGAGACAGGGTGCACATCCAGTCCCTGTGAACGGAAACTGCTTCTGGTCATCTTTACCGACAGGAAGGGATGGGAGCCTGGCACCTGGTTTTGACCCAGTGAATGCTGTGTTGGTTTCCTCTGGTAAATATATCCCATCCGGAACCGTTAGCTAATTTACCGCCTTATTAAGTTTCCAACAATGTACTGTTCTCCAGCATCCATCTGGTTTTTATATCAGCCACACAGGTGAGCTATATGGAGATGCAGTGGGATTCCCACCCCTGCATTTTGTATAAATATAAACCCACTTGTTTACCAAGATGTGCCGCATTCTTTCCTACAGACCTGGGTCTCCATCTGGCATCATTTCCCTCCAGGCAGGAGAACTTCCTTTAGTAACCATGCGGTGCAGATCTGCTGGAAGCAAGTTTTCTTTCGTCTGAAAGTGGATTTTGCCTTCATTCTTAACGGATAGACGGTTCTGGGTTACCGTCTTTTTTTTTTTTTTAAAGCTCTTTATAAGATGCTATTCCACTGTTTCTGGGCTTCCATTGTTTGTGATTGGAAGTAAGTGGTATTCAGACAGTTGCTGTTTCCCTGAAAGTGATACATTGTTTCTCTCTGGGTGCTTTCAAGTTTTCTCTCTGGTTTTCAGCAGCTTGATTCTGAGGTGTGGTTTTCTTCGTATGTACCCTGCTTGAGTTTTACTGAGCTTCTTGAATCTTTAGATTTGTGTCTTTCACCAAATTTGGTTAATTTTGGCCATGATTCAGTTTTTTTGTTTTGTTTTGTTTTTTGTTTTTGCCTCATTCTCTCTCTTCTGGGACACTTGGTGATGTCGTCCTACAGGTCTCCGAGGTTTTAAAGATTTACTTTTGATCTTTATGCCTCACTGTTCTTCACGTTGGATGATCTCTGTCGGTACACGTGTTCTCCCCTTCTTCCTGTTTTCCTGTCCCGTCATTTCTGGCTGTCTCTACTCCAGTGTTGTCGTGCTATTTCTCCTCTTCCCTGAGGACACGGGGTTTCTGAGGAACCAGCTCTGTGTTTGCTGAGTGGGAGGGAGGGCCAGAGAGGATGAAGAGAAGGCCTTCTAGAGGCAGACATTTGACATCACGTCTCTAGTGGAAGTGGGCCCTTGGGGCAGGTAGGACGTGGCACAAATTGACGCTAGGGGAGGGACAGGCAGGCTGGATGTAAATGATGACTCCCTGGTGGAGGGGTGGCGGTCTTGGGGTTTAGCAGGTCCCTAATGAGTGCTAGACCCAGGGCTCAGTGGTCTCTGATCTCAGCAGATCTGTACAACAGCCCCCAGGAATTATTATCCCATGTAACAGATGAAGAAACCCAGGCTGGGAGAGGTGGGCTGGGGCCCAAGACCATGCAGCTGGTTAAATGGCCCTGAGCCCCTGAGCTTGTGGCTCAGGTCAACATCAGGAAAGCCTTGTTCATTTGAGATGTTGGAAGGCCATGTTCATCCTCCAAATTCTCAGTTCAGATACTGCACATGATCCTGATTTTTTTTTTCTTTTCTGGGCTGTTTGAGTCCCAGAACTTGAACTAGTCTTAAGGTTCCTTCTGCCATATTATGCAGACCCTGTCCTGGCTCTGACAGTATCACTGACCAGCTGGGTGATCCTGGCAGGTAGCTTCACCTTTCCAGCCCCACCATCCTCATTTTGAATGTGAGGAAATACAGGTTCACTCTGCATAGTTGGGACCTAGGATCAATGAAGGGACATTCTGTGAAGTTCCATGAAGAGTTTTCAAAGCACTTATGCACACGAGGTCTTAACGGTTACGGCAAGGCCACATTCACACAGCGGCACAAGTTTATTCCTTCCTTTATGAAAGAGATGTTTCATGTGCTCAGCGTTTGTCTAGCTGTTGGGGTATAGCAGTGAACAAAACAGGTAAAATTTTTTGCCCTCATGGTGTTTATGTTCCACTCTGCAATGACTTCTCTTCTGCTTTTAAGCCTGAGACTTGGAGGAGAGCAAAGCAGGTACTATGAGACAGGGAGAACAGAGGTAAATTGGTGCAGAGGACCTGGGACACCTAGCCGTGCCCCCAGCCAAAGACGTGAGCCTGCTGCTGTGTGTGAGGGCTGGGTGCTGAGGCTCAGGCTTCAGAGGACAGACCCAGGGAGAGTACGGGGTTTGGCTGCATGGAGATGGCCTGGCGGGGCTGGAGTGGGGTGTGGGCTGAAGCTGGGAGAATGAGCAGGGCAGGCCAGGTCTGCCATAGAGGCCCCCATGCTTGTTACACATGCGGGGAGGGGCAGGACCCCTGCCAGAACAGCCTCTTTCTTGGCTTGTGTGGGGAGGGATGGAGCAAGATGCCATCATAGCTGTCTCCTCCTCTTGGCTTGCCCTTGGTCCAGGGTGGCTCCACTTCTGGGAGGGCATAGTTGCTGGCAGGTTGCCCCAGGTGTGGGGGGGGCTGAGGTCTGAACCATGTCCTAGGGGGCTTAGGTGGATTTGTGTCCCCATTGCCTTTGTGTGCTTGATGCCTGCAGGAAATCTGAGCAGAAAGCTGGCGCATGGCTGGGGAAGGCCTGGTGTTAACAGCAGGTGTGCACACGCGGAGGCAGGGCCAGGGTCTGGGCTCCCTGTAGCCCACAGCAGATCCTGTGTGTGACCAGATCCTGATGCCTAACTTCAACAGATCTGCCCTGGTGGCTTTGTGAGCACAATACCTGAGGGTGTACTTTGTGAGCCTGACAGTGGGTGACAGGTGACTCCACCCCACAGAGTGCACTTCCCAGTGGAGGAATGCTGAGCGGCTCTCCTAGCAGCGGAAGCACTCTAGTCCTGCCCACCTCTCACAGCAGCTCAGAAACAATCTGGGGGCTTCTACTCCAACAACTGGGGAGCAGGCCCAACCCCCAACAGAGCTGTGACAATCATGGAGCAAAGGAGGAGGCCCTGCTCAACATCCAGTGCAAGCTCTGGTCACCTCAACACCACTCACACCCCCTATCAAGGTGATAATAGTCAGACAAATGGAGGAAAGGCATGGCAGCCATCCATACTAAAAACAGCCCTCACAACAAAAACATTAGACACACATAGAGTACACAGGGATGCTCACACATAAAAACAGCCCTTCAAGACCACAGTAGATAAGTGTTACTTCTAAAGTCATAGAGTTAGAGAAATGTAAGTTAAATGAAGAAGCAGAGGAATCACTCCCAATTAAAAGAACAAGAAAAATCCCTTGAAAGAACAAACAATGAAATAGACCTCTCCAGTCTACCAGAGCAAAAAGGGGATAATAATACTGAAGTAAATAAAAGGTTATTAATAGAAATGCAGATTATTGTAAAGAGTAGCCAATTAAGATCAGAAAACTCAATTGCCAGAATAAAAGCTAAGCTAAGGCAATAAATATCAGACCAAATAATGCAGAAGTATAAAAATAAGTGATCTGGAAGGTAAAATAGTAGAAATCACCCAATCAGAACAGCAGATAGAAAAATGAACAAAAAAGCAATGTAAGAAATCTATGGGATAATATAAAATGTGCCAACCTATGCATAATAGGGGTCTCAGAAGGAGAAGAAAGAGAAAAGGGTATTGAAAATGTATTTGAAGAAATTATGGCTGAAAGCTTCCCAAACCTAAAGGAGGAAACATACCAGGTACAGGAATCACAAAGGGTCCCAAACGAGATGAACCCAAACAGACCTACACCAGGACATATAATTTAAATGACAAAAGTTAAAGACAAAAGATTTTAAAGGCAGCTAGATAAAAACAAAGAATTAGTTACAAGGGAACCCCCATGAGGCTATCAGCTGATTTTCTACAGAAGTGTTATAGGCCAGAAGGGAGTGGCAAGATACATTGAAGTTTTGAAAGGGAAAAACCCACAACCTTGAAAAAACCCACAGCCTAGGATACCCTACCCAGCAAGATTATCATTTGGAATAGAAGGAGAGAGAAAGAATTTCTCAGATAAGCAAAACCTAAAAGAATACAGCAATGCTAAGACTACCCTAAAAGAAAATTTGAAACGTCTTCTCTAAATAGAAAGGCAGCAAGAATCTATAGAAAAAAGAAAATCACAGTTGGAAATGTGCTAACTATAATGATTAGCAAAAGAATAAATATGAAGCTGTAAAAGAGGGCATGAAAATCAGAAAATATGGGGGAAAGGATTAAGAAAATGTAGACTTTTTTTTTTAGAATGGCTTTGAGCCTATATGGTTACCAGTATAAACTAAGTAGATATAGTAAGGATCAACAGACTTGAAGAAACAGGGTAATCACAAATCAAAAACATACAATAGCACCCCAGAAACCAAAAAGAAAACTCAAGCATAATACAAAAGAAAAACATCAAGCCACAAAAGGAAAAACAAAAAGAAAAAGAAAGGAATATATAAGGAATACAAAAATCAATGGAAAAACGTCAATAATTACCTTAAATGTCAATGGACTAAATGCTCCAATCAAAAGACAGAGTGGAAGACTGGATAAGGAGACAAGAACCCACAATATACTGCTACATGAGACCCACCTTAGGGTGAAGGACTCATATAGATTCAAAGTGAGGGGATGAAGAAGAAATTTCATGCAAATGGAAATGACAAGAAAGCAGGGATAGTAATACTCACATCAGACAAAATAGACTTTAAAACAAAGGCCATAAAGACAGACAAAGAAGGACACGACTATATAATGATAAAAGGATCAATGCAAGAAAAGGATATTAAATTCAACATATATGTACCTAATCAAGGATCACCTAAATACATAGAACAAATACTAACAGACAATAAAGGGAGAAATTGATGGGAATACAAGAATAGTAGACTTTTACACTCCACTAACATCATTGGACAGATCTTCCAGACAGAAAATCAATAAGGCAACAGGGGTTCTAAATAGAACAGTTAGACTTAATTGATAATTTCAGGACATCATGTTAAACAAAACAAAACAAAACAAAACCCAGAATAAACATTCTTTTCAAGTGCACATGGAACACTCTCTAGGATAGACCACATACTCAGACACAAAACAAGCCTCAATAAATTTAAGAAGATAGAAATTATTTCAAGTATCCTTTTTGACCACAATGGCACGAAACTAGAAATCAACCACAGAAAAAGAAATGAGAAAAAATTGATTGTACAGAGACAAAACATCCTACTAAAGAAAAAATGGTAAAGAGGAAATTAAAAAATACCTTGAGATGAATAACAATGAAAACACAACCACGCAAAATTTATGGGATGCAGCAAAAGCAAAGACAGAAGTTTACAGTGACACAGGCCTTCCTCAAAACCAAAAAATCTCTTAAACAACTTAACCTACCACCTAAAACATTAGAAAAAGAACAAACAAAACCTGAAGTCAGCAGAAGGAAAGAACGAATAAAGATTAGGGAAGAAATAAGAGAGAAAAAACAATAGAAAAAGTCAATAAAACCAAGAGCTGTTTTTTGAAAGAGTAAACAATTGACAGACTTCTGGCCAGACTCACCAAGAAGAAAACAGAGAGAACACAAACAAATGAAGCAAGAAATTAGAGAGGAGAAATTCAACCAATACTACAGCAATACCACGGAAATACAAAAAATCATGAGGCTACTATGAACAACTACATGCCAACAAATTGGACAACCTAGAAGAAATGGACAAGTTTCTAGAAACATACAGTCCATCAAAATTGAATCAAGAAGAAATAGATAATTTAAACAGACCAGTTACTAGAAGTGAAACAGGATCTGTAATTAAAAACAACAACAACAACACAAAAGCCCAGAACCAGATGGCTTCACTGGGGAATTCTACCATACAAAGAACTTATATGGATCCTTCTCAAACTCTTCCAAAAGTTTGAAGAGGAGGGGACACTCCAAAACTCATTCTATAAAGCCACCATCACCCTGATACCAAAACCAAAGACACTACCAAAAAAGAAAGTTACAGACCAATAAATATCTTTGATGAATATAGATGCAAAAGTTCTCAACACAGTATTTGTAAACATAATCCAACAAACACACAGAAAAGATCATATACTACAATCAAGTTGCATTCATCCCAGGGACACAAGGATGGTTCAACATATGCAAATCAATCAATGTGCTACACCATATCAACAAATGAAAAGACAAAAACCACATGATCATCTCAATAAACAGAGAAAAAGCATTTGATAAAATACAACATCCATTCATGATGAAAACTCTTACTAAAGTGAGTAGAGGGGGAACATATCTCAACATAATAAAAGCAATTTATGACAAACCCACAGCCAACATAACACTCAGCAGTGAAAAGTTGAAAGCCTTCCCACTAAAATATGGAACAAGGATGCCCACTCTCACCACTTCTATTCAATATAGTATTGCAAGTCCTAGCCATAGCAACCAGATGAGAAGAAGAAATAGAAGGGATCCAAATTGGAAGGGAAGAGGTAAAACTGTCACTAGATGCAGATGACATATACTATATATAGAAAACCCTAAAGATGCCACATAAAAGATACTAGTGCCTATAAATGAATTCAGCAAGGTAGCAGGATATAAGATTAGCATACAGAAAGCTCTTGCATTTCTTTACACTAACAATGAAATATGAGAAAAGGGAAGTTAAAAAAAAATCCCTTTTAAAATTTCATCCAAAAAATACTTAGGAATAAACTTGACCAGGGAGGTGAAAGACATGTGGAGAACTACAAAACACTTTAAGGAAATTTAAAAATGGTTCAAAGAAATGGAAAGATATTCCATGCTCTTGGATTGAAAGAATATTGTTAAAATGGCCATACTACCCAAAGCAATCTACAAATTTAATGCAATCCCTATCAAATTACCCATGACATTCTTCACAGAATTAGAATAACCCTAAAATTTATATAATCACCAGAGACCCAGAATTGCTAAAGAATGAAGCTGGAAGCATAGCCCTCACACACTTCAGACAATACTGCAAAGCTACAGTAATCAAAACATTGTGGTATTGGCACAAAAACAGACATACGGAACAATGGAGCAGAATAGAGTGCCCAGAGATAAACCCACATATCTGCACAATTAATCTTTGACACAGGAGGCCAGAATATACAATGGAGAAAAGACCATCTCTTCAGTAAGTGGTGTTGGGAAAGGTGAACGGCTACATGTAAATCAATGAAGTTAGAACACTCCCTCACACCATACACAAAAATAAACTCAAAATGGCTTAAGGACTTAAACATAAATCAAGACACCATAAATCTCCTAGAAGAGAACATAGGCAAAACATTCTCTGACATAAATCATAGCAATATTCTCCTAGGGCAGTCTACCAAGTTTTACCAATAAAATAATAGCAAAAATAAACAAGTGGGACCTAATTCAACCTATAAGCTCTTGCACTGCAAAAGAAACTATAAACAAAAAGACAGCCTATGGAATGGGATAAAATATTTGCAAATGATGTGACTGACAAGGGCATAATTTCCAGAATATACAAACAGCTCATACAACTCAGTAGCAACAACAAAACAAACAACCCAATCAAAAAATGGGCAGAAGACCTAAACAGACATTCCCCAATGAAGACACACAAATGGCTAATAGGCATATTAAAAGGTGTTCAATATCACTAATTATCAGAGAAATCAAATCAAAACTACAGTGAGGTATCACCTTATACCAGTCAGAATGGCCATCATTAAATTGTCCACAAACAATAAATGCTGGAGAGGGTGTGGAGAAAATGGAGCCTTTCTACACTGTTGGTGGGAATGTAATTTGGTGCAGCGACTATGGCAAACAGTATGGAGATTCCTTAAAAAACTGAAAAATAGACTTACCATATGATCCAGCAATCCCACTCTTGTACATATAGCCAGAGGTAACTTGAGTTTGACAACATACTTAGATCCCAGTGTTTATAGCAGCACTATTTACAATAGCCAAGACATGAAAGCAACCTAAATGTCCATGAACAGATGACTGGATAAAAAAGTTGTGGTATATACAATGGAATACTACTCAGCCATAAAAATGAAATAATGCCACTTGCAGTGACATGGATGGATCTAGAGATTATCATACTAAGTGAAGAAAGCCAGAAGGAGAAAGACCAATACTATATAATACCACTTACATGTGGAATCTGAAAAAAGTGAGACAAATGACCTTATTTACAAAAGACTCACAGACATAGAAAGCAAACTTATGGTTACCAGAAGGGGAGGATAAATTGAGTGTTTGGGATTTGCAGATACTAACTACTGTATATAAAATAAACAACAAGGTTCTACTGTATAGCACAGGGGCTATATTCAGTATCTTGTTGTAACCTAAATGAAAACTATGAAAAAGAATATGCGTGTGTGTTTGCCTGTAACTTAACCCATGGTGTCCCTGCCTCCCTGGGCAGCCCTGCTGCTCACAGCAGGGGAGGTGCAGGATCTGCACTTCCTTGGGCTTCCGCCCACCTGTCTGCCTAACCGGCCTTATAGTGAGCATTTACTTAAGAATAAAATCATGCTGGTCCAAAACAACAACAAAAACCCCAGCTAGCGCTCTTTGACTATTCGCTCTTACTGTTGATCCATGGTGAGCATAAAGAATTTTCTCCCTTGGTCTGGCTACTTTTGCAGTTTTCTGCAAAATATTATTAGTGAGTATGCTGCTTTTCTTTTTAAAAACCGTGTTGTTCTGAGAACTACGTCTTCCATCCCTAACTTCGAAGGACATTTGTCATCGATTCTTCCCTGCTTTTACTCCCTTCCCACCTCCTGCCAGGTTATATGCATGGCCCAAGCCCCGTCCTAACTGCAACGCCCAAATTCACCCCGACCTGCGGCCTCACGGGCCGCTCCTCACTGTTCACCCTGTTTTCTCACCTCCTCTCCCAGGTTATGGGCACGCTGCTCCCGGCACCGACGCGGGCAAGGCCTTCTGCATGTTCTACGCCGTGCTGGGCATCCCGCTGACGCTGGTCATGTTCCAGAGCCTGGGCGAGCGGATGAACACATTCGTACGCTACCTGCTGAAGCGCATGAAGAGGTGCTGCGGCATGCGCAACACGGAGGTGTCCATGGAGAACATGGTGACCGTGGGCTTCTTCTCCTGCATGGGGACGCTGTGCATCGGAGCGGCTGCCTTCTCCCAGTGCGAGGAGTGGAGCTTCTTCCACGCCTACTACTACTGCTTTATCACGTTGACTACCATTGGGTTCGGGGACTATGTGGCCCTGCAGACCAAGGGCGCCCTGCAAAAGAAGCCGCTCTACGTGGCCTTTAGCTTTATGTATATCCTCGTGGGGCTGACGGTCATCGGGGCCTTCCTCAACCTGGTGGTCCTCAGGTTCCTGACCATGAACAGCGAGGACGAGCGGCGGGACGCCGAGGAGAGGGCATCCCTTGCCGGAAACCGCAACAGCATGGTCATCCACATCCCGGAGGAGGCGCGGCAGGGCCGGCCCCGCTACAAAGCGGACGTCGCGGACCTGCAGTCCGTGTGCTCCTGCACGTGCTACCGCCCGCAGGAATACGGTGGCCGCCCGGCGGCGCACCAGAACTCCTTCAGCGCCAAGCTTGCCCCCCAGTACTTCCACTCCATCTCTTACAAGATCGAGGAGATCTCACCAAGCACATTAAAAAACAGCCTCTTCCCATCCCCCATCAGCTCCATTTCTCCCGGGTTACACAGCTTTACTGACAACCACAGGCTCATGAGACGGCGGAAGTCCATCTAGGGTGTGGGAGGGAAACACAAGCAGAAAAAGCCACTTGTCATAGTTGACGTTCAGTCTCATTGGCCCCACGTGTCTTTTCTTGTTTATTTATTGTTGTTATCTTTTATTATTATTGTCATCGCTTTTTCTTTCTGTCCTCCCTTCTTGGTTTCGTGTCCTCCCCACCGTTCCAGCGAGACAGAGCCGGCCAAAGGGAAAAGAAAGGCCCGTCTTCCTCTGAAACTCGCATCTGAGCATGAAGCATGGATTTCTTCCTTCTTCCCAGCGAAGTATGCCTTACATTTCTGCCCAACCTGCCCCATCTCTGGGGTGGCTTTCCCAGGACAGGTGTGAGACCAAGACAAGGAGACAGAGCTGAGAGGATACCCAACCCAAAGTTGCACACCCAGCTGAGAGCCTTGAGCGCCCACCCACAGTGGTGTCTCTGACCCAACTCCTCTCTCTTTCCCTTCCCAAGCAGCAGGTGGCCGTATGTGTGTGGTCTGAGAGTGTGTGAGTGAATGCACACACCAGTGTGCTTGTGTATGTGTGGTGTGTGTGGTGTGTGCACCGTGTGACCAAATGGAAAGTATCAGGTATTTAGCTTTCTTTTCCATCACAGTTTTGTTAATAACCTGCTTTTGGCTGCTTCCAAACAAAAAAATGGGAAAACAAAACCTATGAGGTTTTTGATTTATCATCTTGCCAAATCAAGCATGTTCCATAAGCAGTCTTTATCCCAGATGTGTCATGATCACATTTTTAAAATGCTAGGTTCTAAATTATATTAGCTTCTTTTTAGGGGGTGGGGGGCAAGAAGACATGGATCATTTTAGCTTGCCAGTTCAAAAATTTTTAACAAGCATGCACTTTGTTAAACTGGTATGCGTTATCAACACAAGAAAACAAAACTAGCAATGGAATAATCAAAAGCCAATAATTTATTAGAGATACTTTTAATTTTACCATCTTCTGTTCCAACAATTTTCTGTGCAACTGGAAGTATCAGGGGAAACTGGAAAATTGTTGCAACTACAGAGTACCTATTTTATTATTTCTTATTTATGTGATGATGATGATGATCTGTGCAGCGTCTACCTACATGAGTAAGAATTACAGTTTGCGATGCTTGGATGAGAATGGGTATTTGTCAGTGGATGTTGGATGTGGTTTCTTTTCCTAATTAAAAAAAATGACAGGGCACTCCTCATTTTAAAGAATATATATAATGTATTTTAAGAAAGATTGTCTTTAACTGCATTTGATCTGTAAATAAGGGAACGTTGATGTTGGTCTCAGGAAGAGTTTAGAGGCAAGGAGCTGTGTCTTGGTCTGCTGGGAACTTGTCAATCTCAGGGGATGATTTTTTCTGAATAGTGGAGAAATTCCTCCCCACTCTCTATAGGGGATGATGCAAAAGGGAAGGCCTGCTAGTCTCCTGGGGCCCAGTTAGGCTATTGAATGTGACACATTGGAGGCCCTTCTCATGACAGGAATAAAGGAAGGTCTAACCTCCAGCTTCAGAGGGGACTTGTCAATTCCCTCATCCCTGTCTCTGCCGTTTCTAAAAATCAGCCACCCTCGCACTCATTTCTCATAAACTCAAGTTCTTGGCTCTTGGCTGGAAATGAGCATTGGCTGTGCTGCTCAGAAGGAACAGTGGGCTCTCCCAGAATGGAGGAGCGGCTCCCTGGGAAGAGCAGCCCTACAAGGTTTCCTAAAGAGATGGCTGCAGGTGCATCCGTCCCAAGCATCTGGGCCGTTGGACTGAACACAGCACTCAAGATTCCTCTGAGGGGACGTGCACTTTAATGTTACATCCCATGTTGAAAATGGCCCTGTCGTCCAGGACACGGGGCCTGTGGAAGGAGTCTGGGAACCTCAGGTTCTTGAGGCCAAAGTGGACAGTTATCAGTCTTCAAGGTCATATCCATTAACTCATTTTTAAGATTTTTTTAAATTTTAAGGCTCTAAAATCTGTCTAGAGAGTAGAAACAGTTGTTCTTTAATTATTTTTTCCTCTTGTAAGAACATTTTGGCTACCGGGGGTCAGCGGTGCAGAAGTACTATGCGTATTAGCAGAGCGCTTCATGCTCTGGGGGGGTGGGGGTGGGGGCTGCTTGGAGCACATGTAGGGTTTCTCCTGAAAACTTTTGTAAGATTTGCTCTTGGTGGAGGGAGGGTCATCATCTTTGATCTATAAAAGAAACGGGGGCGCTGAGAATGAGTGGTTTGCTCCATGTCACAGAGCTGGTCCTTGGTAGAACTGAGACATTACTCTCAGTCTGGACCCCAAAAGGGTCCAAGAAGCTGACTGCCGCACCACAGCATCCTCATTCAGCCCTCAGATGAGGGAACCAGCTTCTCTTTCTCCACAGGTAGATGCACCAGGCCCTTGGAGTCCATTAGAGGAACGTGGGTTCAACCCTTCATTCAGAACTGGTTCCCCCACCAGTGTACAGCGGTCATAAAGTGGCCTACTTCTGCTTGAATGCTTCCAGTGACAGGGAGCTCCTCACTTCACAGGGAGATCTAGAAAACATTCCAAAATCTTCTTCTGCAGAGCTGACTCTCCTTTATGGGCTTAAGGTGGGTAGCATGAAGTCTTTTCTGTTTGTGGGATGACCACTAACTTAAGCATCTGAAGCAACTTGGAATCAGTCTTGGTTCCGTATCCCCCTTGTTTCTTCTGCCCTTTGCTACCAGCTCATCCTTCTCTAGGACACTCACCGAGTCTTGTCTTCTGAAGTGAAACACCCTTGTTTATGCTCAGAGTGTTCGGGGGTGGAGGTGAGCCTTGGTTTGCTTCCCTTGTGATGTCCATCTTTTCCTCAGATGGTCCATCTCTTCCCTACCATGGTCTCTGGCCAAGGAGTCCTTTAGGTGCATCCAGCGAGGGCCTCTGATGGAGGCAATGAGTCAAGCCTTCCCTGGGGTTCTCCTCTTTTGATAAAGCAGGATGGGGCATCTCCACCTGGAGCTTGGCCCACTTGATCAGTACTGGAATCCTCAAAAGCCAGGAGGATGCCTACTCTGAGTCACCTTGCAGAGGTCCCTCATGTTCAGAGAAGGAAATCGAAGTCCAGAAAGGCTGGACACAATTCTGAGGTCCCACAGCCAGAACCGAGGCATCCCCGCTTGTTCCTCTTTCTGCTGCGTTGCCGGCTGCTGCGACCGAACAGCCCTGTTGCTGGACTTCGTAGCATCTCAGGCTCAGGGCTCCTCCTCCCTCACACCTGCTGGTGTTTTTCTTTCAGCCCAGGTTTCCCACACCCGTCTTCCAGTTGACCACACCCACTCTGATGGGGAAGAAATCACACCAGGTTGTTTGGATTCAGGCTTCAACTTCTGTTAGAATGAGCTGAGGAAGAGCCACATCCCCCAGAATCACAGGAGGGTGGCCTGCCACCCAGGCCTGGGTGGGGTGAGAAATCAGCGTGGCCGGTAGGTACTTGACAAGGCTTTGGACGCTCACTTGAACGCTTTCCCACTAGGCGATCTCAGGCCGTCCCCTTCATTAAAGGACAGAAGGAAGGTGGGGAGTGGTATCGATCATTCCCACCAGCTCTGGGTGTCACGTTTTCTAGAGACCGTCCCATTTTAATCTTTATGGCATCCATCCGGGGTGGAAGGTGCTGTCACACCATTGGCCTGCTGGACTCTTTACATAGGAGTGAAGCAACCTGTCTGGGTTCTGAGGTACCCGGCTAGCCCCAGAGCTGGGGTCAGAGCTCTTCTTTTCCATCTGCACCACTTTGTCCTGAAACCCAGGCAGCAGCCTCTTAAACACAGTGGGCTGCCTGGTGCTCTAAATTTAAACACTCTGAAGCATCTGTTGCACTCCCATTGTGCCTCGCTGACTGGGAGAAGGGTGTCTGTACTTCGGAATGATCACAGCAGACTGAAGCCCAGGAATCCCACTGGGTCCCTAATCCTTCCAGGAGAGGAAACAAGTGGACACAGACTAGCCCAGGAGACCTCTCCTCTGCAGGTGCTCGTGAAGCCCATCCATACAGAAGGGGGCGCTGACTGCTGACTCGTGGTCCGCTGTTTGGCCTCTGCACACGGGGCCCCGATTAGGAGAGTGTCTGGATGGTAAAGCAGACGCCCACAGACAAGCCCAGGCAGGCCAGTCTTCTCTGCCTCCAGATACGAAAGCCTTGTGGGTCCTGAGTCCCACTGACTCCTGGTCGCTGGCTGCCGGAAGCTGGAGAGAAGGCTTTAGAGGCATTTACTGTCTGTGAGTTGAGTTGGAGAGGAAGGTAGGGGAGCAAAAGATGATTAAAAAGGAAAGCCACCCATCGCCGAGGTTTTTGGCCCTACGTCTTTATGCCGTCTTCTTTTAAAAATCAGAGGCCCTAGTTAGTGTTCCAGCCAAGGCATCCACGGAGGTGGGAGGTCTGCGGCCTGTGCCGGAAGGTGTCCCTTCTCTTGGTGGGATGGGTGTGGTCGTCTGTCAGTCATTCCAGTGAGTTGTGTCATCCTTCTGAAAAGAAGAGGGACAAGGGGCCCCTCATGCAGGCCTGCTGCCTGGGGGCCTCAAGTGTGCTTCTTACAGTCGTGGTTTGTGTGGGACCCCAGAAGCATGCCAGGCTTACAAGGAGAGGGTGGCAGGGCAGGGACCCCACTCACCCCTCCTGCTTCCCTGGGCTCCTGGAAGTCAGCTCCCCTCCCTGGGCCATGGCGGGCCAGCTTGCTGGACTTGCTGCACATTTAGCCTGAAATGAGTTTGATCAATGAAGACATTTGGCCTGGACGTCCTGGTCACTGGGCACATTTGAGGGTTGAGCCACAAAAATGAAAATGAAAACCAAACCCCACTTTGTCTGGCAGCGGGGAAGCGGGGGGACAAGCAGGGGCGCTGAGAGCAGTGTCGTCATGCGAGCCAAGGCCGCGTGCGCGCCGGGCTCCCCGAAGCCCTGGGCGGAAGTCTGTTTCCTGTGGTTGCGTCTGAGCGCACCTTAGGAGAGGCTACCGATTCAGAGAAGGGAAGCTCGCACTGTGATCCCCGCCCACCCCCACCGACTTCGTTCTGAAGCTTCCAGATTTACAGAAGAGTTGAGAGAGCGTGGTGAGCCCCCACCTGCCTTTCACCCGGACTCGCCAGCCTTCAGCGCTCTGCCGTGTTTGCTCAGCCCCCTCCCACCCTGACCCCCTCCACTCCCGCATTCACACAGGGAGGTACTGGGAGGATGAAGCGATGTCTGCAGCCTTTGGGTGGTTCAGCCAAAGGGAAACTTGTTTCTCTCCCAGGAACAAGAGCGTTCTCTTTGGTACCAGGGCCATTTTCACCTCTAAAAAGTTGAGCATCCGTACAATGATATCTAAGGCACCACCCGTAGTCACATTTCCCCAGTTGTCCCCAAAATATCCTCCAGAGCTTTTTTGTGGATCTGAGGACAGTCCAGGACTGCCTCCCACGTTGCTTGTCCACGTGCCCCAGACACCCCCAGTCTAGGACATTCTCCACTAGTTTTGTTTTTCATGATGTTGCCATTTTGGAGCTTGGGCCAGGCGTCTTGTGGGCTGCCCCACGATCTGTCTCTGTTTCCTCAGGTTAAGGAATTTAGGGAAGAGGACAGTGTAGGTGTCATTACGAGTCATGCGTTTGGGAAATCTGGCTCTCTGGAGACCTCTGTGATTACCTCTTTCATTGTAGATAAATGAGGCATGCCAAATGCTGCTCTCCGCTGTTGGAGACACTAACTGAAGCTTCAGAAGGAGGTCCAAAAACCCTGGACGCTGGGTCTCATCGCTAAAGCCAAGCAAGGCCCTGCTATTTCTGACCTCTCACGTGAATTCTCTTCTGTGCTGAGTGTCAGCAATCTTCTCCCCAAACACCTGTGGCGATGATCCAGCTATAAATAGACATCAAGCACGCAGACATTCTTTCATCGACTGTAAAGAGCCAGCGGGTGCAACCCAGTAGGTTGGATGTGAGGTGAGGATGCCTGTAAGCCAGTGGGGCACTTGGGCACCCAGCTGCATGAGTGGTCACGGTGACCGAGCCTTTCCTGTCACTGCTAGAAGTGAGATCTGTTGTTGTGGCACTGCTCTTGGCCAGGAAGGGTTAAAACTTGTGACCTCCATTTGAGATGGTTCTTGGCACTGGCGAGTTCTAGTCTGTGTACACTGGCCCTCTCAGTCTGGTAACGAAAAGCAATCTACCTGCTTCTATTTGATCAGGAACACCTGCCCATGCTGATGCCCACCTGTCCAGGCTGTTTCTGCCACCTGGAAGGGCTCTCTGCTGCTCCCCAGCATGGAGGTGGACATGGGACCATCTCACACACCATCCTTTAAAAGCTTCTCCTATTTGCTCCACAGGGGATTCAGGGAGGCCCTGCTCTGAGGTCCCCAGTCCTTTCTATCGTGGATGAACACACTGAGAAGCCACCCTCTGATGGCCCTGGCTTTCGGAGCTGCGAAGCCCAGGCAGCACCCAGAGAGGGGAATAGACAGTCGGACTCCCAGCATCCAACCTAAATGCGCATTCATCACTTTCATCAGGCATGTCTTAAGTTCAATGCAGGCGTTTGCTCCTTCCGCGGAAACCGATGCACATCTGTGGGATGAAAACCATCCTCCCACCGCCCGGCAGCGCTGGATGTGTCGTGTGCAGTCGGGCATTTCCCACAGAGCAGGTGACAGGCTTGTGACATTGCACCCTGTTGGAGATTGCACGTAAACCCGGCTGCAGAGCGGCTGCAGGGACAGCATGTGATGGCACTTACCGGGCACCTGCTCTGAGCTGGGTACCGAGCCGGTGTTCTCACACTGTTCGCATTTCTCGCAAAGCCCAGTCCGAGTCTCCTGCAAGGTTACTCTGGGGCATTTGACTTGCAGTCAAAATATGGAAGGAACTAATCAGCCTGATGGAGGAACTCAGGCAGGGCTTCACGGAGGAACTGGCTTTTGATAATCTTTGAGGAGAACCTTGGAGGAGCAAGTGGGCACTGTTTTAGGCGAGGCACGGACGTATGAAAGTTCAGGGAGCACAGATTTCATCCACTGATCAGTGGACTCTTGCCACAGAGCCACGCCTGGTGGATGAGGCAGTGAAGTGTCAAGGCCCTTCACAAGCTGGTCACATGCTAAGTCATCCAGGCCATTCTTATGCTCAGGAAGCTTCATGGCTCCCCAGTGCCCTCGCACAAGGTTATTTCAAGGTCCTTCAGTCTAATAGCCATAGCCTGAGTCTTGGGCTCCTTGGAGGAGCTAGCCATCCTAATGTCCCTTTGGGTCCTCCTTTGATAATGAAAGTCTGCAAGTAGATCCTGTCCCATCTCTCTGAGCCTGTTTCCTCTTTTGTGAACGAGGGTCTGGAAGGGTGGATTTTCCCAGAAGGACTGGGGTTGGAAACCAGTCCGGTTTCTCGGAGACCTCTGCCATCCAGAGAGCAGCTCTCAGTCTTGAAAAGGGAAGTCTTGTGACGTTTAGCCATAAACCTCGGACACTAGAAACAAAACCTCAGCTTTGCCTCTCCCAGCTCCTGGGCGTTGGGAGGTGGAGAACTCAGGGCCCTTTGTAAGCACCGAACAGCGGCTTCCCTTTCTTCCTCTTTGTTATCGGGCCACGTGGCCTCTGGCAAGTCACTTCCTAGCCTTTTCTACGAAGGATGAAATGGTCAGGGGAGAAGCAGATGTCTCCCAGACAGGTGCCGGCAAAGACAAAAGGGGATAAGGTCATGCACCAGGTCCTTGACGGGCAGTTCCGTGGGGGGCGGGGTGGCCAAGGGCCCCCGCATAGGGTTCCTAAGCTGGGCCAGCTCCTTGCTCCTGGGGAGTCTCCTCCTTGCACTGGAAGGACTAGGTCTTCCCCCAGCTCCTCTGGCCCTTCCGTTAACAGCCTCTTGCTTGTGGCCCTGCTCTCGGCCCCCAGATGCTTGGCTGTGCTGTGGGCGGGACGTTTTCTAGTGAGCCGGAGCCCACCTTGCCCCCACCAGCCTTGCGGGAAGCCCTGCCTTTTCTCACCCTGAGAGGAAAAAGCCCCTGAGGCGCGAGGCAGCAGCTGTGAGGTGCTGTAATCCTGCCCAGCTGATTCATTATCCCGTGATGGTTTACGGAGTGTCTGAGCATTTGCCACCAGCCAACCTCAGCAAGAGGCCATTGTGGTCAACCAGACGCCCACGCTTCCTGGCCTCGTAAGGCTAAAATTCCTAGGGCCACACACTTCCAAGATGCAGAGGGTCTAGAGACAGAGTCAGACGAGCAGGTATTGGAACCAAATCATGGCCCGGCCATCCCGGCATTTTCTTGCGCTGAATTTTAAAAGTTGGGTCGAAAAAGAAAAATCCAATGAAGGGAAGAACACGATTAGCGGGAACCCAATGAAGCAGAACCCACAATTACCACAACTTCTCTGTAATTTGATGGCTTCTCGGAGAAGAACACAACCTTGAAACAGACTAATTATATATCTGCTTATTCAGCCCACAAATAGCATTTTGACAGCCATTTGGGGCTGGAAGGGACCTCCAGAGGCCATCTCAGTCCACCCTCTGCTTTATCAGAAATCTCCACGGCATAGGTAAGGCATTGAATTAGGGGAAATGATGTTATTGAGCAAAATTTAGATGGGAAACAAGACTAACCCAGCTAGAGGACCTGAGGCTCTCATGTCCGTAAGGGTGTCGATCAGAAAGCTTGCAGTTAAACACAGGAGACCCAGGCAAAGACGGCAAAGAGGAGGAGTAGGTTTTAAACTACTGAACTCATCACGGAGGAAGGATTTCTAGTCTATTCCCAGCAGGCCAGGAAATGGCTGATGCTCCCTCTAAGACGGACCCTTTGTAACTTCAGCCAACTGTGTATCCTTGTGCCTCAGAACCGTGACAATTTAGAGAGTCTTTTGTGGCCCCAGGCATAGGAGTGAAGCGTGAGTGAACTGCAGACTCACACCCATGAAGGTGACCGGCGCACAGGCACGGGGCTCATCCTGGGGGCGGGGCGGGGGCGCGGGGGCGGGTCTGCGCGGCTTCATCGGGGGCGCATGTGTGCACCGACTGGGTATCTTTGTTGGCATTGCTGGAGTTTTCATGACTGTGGTAAGAGGACCTGGGTTAGTTCTGTTGGTGGTGCTGCTGGAGGGCTTCCAGAACATTCCCCAGGGCGAGATGGGAGTCAGGCAGCCTCCACCAGAAGCTGGGTCAGCCTGGCCACTTGCCAGGAGGATGGAATGGCTTGTCCCGAACCCCTAGCCGGGACCTCCCTTCCCACGTCGGTGGGCGTTTGGGCTTTGGATGACAGGCCCAGCCGCGGTCAAGGCATCAGACCTTTGGTGGGCAGCCACACCAGATGTGGCAAAACCAGTGGCTCCGGCTGGACCGCAGCGAACCAAATTCAAAGAAGCCTGCTGTTCCTTTTTGTTTTCCTTTCGTCTCTCCTCTGCCTTCTCCGCCTGCGGAGAGGGCGCCTTCACAAATGGCCTTAGAATGCCGTTCTGAAGTTTGACAGAATGAGACAACCATCAAGTGAATATCAGAAGTATTTATTACTGCAGCTTAACCTGAAGAGTGAAAAAACAAAAAAACAAAAACAGAACTGTATCACCAATGTTTACAAGTCCAAGTAGACATCCAGCCCGTGTAAAAATGTAACTAATGCAAGGGATTGCATCTTTCTTTTGTAACGAATGCACTAAGCAACCCTGTATATATTTTACAAAGTCTTTACAGAAAAAGAAAGAACCATTTACTGTAGTGTTGTAAACTAATGCACTTTTCTAATTTTTTCATTAAAATCTCTATGGCACGTTTGCAAATGTGTCTTGGTCTTCCTTCACTAAGAAAGCTGAAAAAAGGGTCACTGTGGTCCGGGCCCTTCCTGCCTTTAAGCCACATTTCCTAAAGCAAGGTGGACAGTCAAAACTGGGCACCAGTTTGCTCACTGGTCCCCCGCACCTCGGGCAGGCCTGCTAGGAAGACTTGCCCCTGAAAATCTTGGCCAGGACCTCAAGTATGCGGAGACCCGATTTGCTGATTTTTGTTTTTCTTGTGGAGGAATCAAGAGTTCAAAACATGAGACGCCCCCTTTTGCCCTTCTCCAGCTGTCTGTGTGTCTGTGCACGTGGAGAAAAGAAGGACGACAGGCGACCTTACCTCTGCGCCAGAGGCCAGACCTGCTCCTGCCTACGTGACGTGGCTGCTGGGGCGTTAGGGGCTACTGACGACACCTGTGTTCCGGAGGCCTGGGCGTCACGGAACTGTCTGCGGGGTCCAGGGTCAGAGCTTCCTGGAGGGCAGAGGTTCTCTGATTTGGGCGTCCACCCCAGGGGCTTCCGAGAACACAGACTGCAGGGCTCCACCCTCGGTGTGGGTCCTGGATGGGCCAAGAGTGTGCGTGTCTCACCAAGCCTCAGGCGTGCGTACGCTGCTGAGGTCAGGGCCAGGTCTTCCCTGTGCTGTCCCAGCTCGGATTAGGGGGCGATCCCACGCAAAAGCGCATCTGGCCGCAGGTGGAGCCCCGCAAGCCAGGCCCCTCTCTGCCCATCTCGTAGGACATGCACTTTCAGCGAGCACCTGCTGCCTGCTCGGCTCTGTTCCACTTCCCCAGAACAGAGGTTCAGACAGGGAACAGACCTGAGCCTGGTGAGAGCCTTGACTCCTAATGATTTACATCACGTCACTGCTGTTTGTCCCCCCACTAGCACACCTTCTTTCAGGAGCTGGGTCTTCTCAGCCAGGGATTGGCCAACTTTCTCTGTCAAGAGCCAGATAGGACCATTTTAGACTTACTGCAGTACCCCAGAGGGCAGAGCCTGAGCGTGAACCCCAGGCCAGCATCAGTGAGCTCTCCGGCATGGGGTGGGCTAGTGGACCCATGCAGGATGTAGTTTTAAGTAGAATGCGACTGCGAGGTACAAGTCTCCTAGAAAGGCCAGAGCGACTCCCTGCACGCACGTCCTGCAGAGCCGGGCAAGGCTCCTGGCGCCCTCCCATTCTTCCTATTGCCTCCCACCCCGTCATTGGTTTCCAGTCATGGGCCAGGCCCCGAGGGACAAGCTCATGGCCCAGAGATGAATCGGAAAACATAAGATGTTTGGAGGGAGCACCAGGCTTGGGGTCAGTGGTGCAGCCTCCATGTCCCTGCCGTGGTGTTAGGAGGTCTGTGGACTCAGCTATTGAATTGCCTGAAGCTCAAGTCTACTGTCTTAGCAGCTCTGGTCAACTCAGCCCCAGGCAGACCAAGAGTTGCATTGAAAAACAAACTCAAACAGCCCAGGGGCGCAGGGCTCCCTCACCTGGCCCCCCTGCAGGGCTGGGCACAGTGGCAGGTGGGTGGCTGCCCCCAGATCAGCACCCCAGTCCTAGGTGGCAATGCTGCTTGACCTCACTGCACCACGGGTGCCCTGTGTGCAAACAGGGACTTCGGAGGGATTATTGTTAACATCACCCCATGAGTCAGGGTACCTACTGGGATAATATATGCAGTGCTCATAACAAATGCCAGCTGTGTGCCAGCGCCGTTCTGAGACCCTGATTGTGTGGTGGTTATTCTCGGTTCTGCTGTGTGCATTCCACACACGTTCCCTTTGGCTGTGTGTCTACCATGTGCTGTACGTCTCGTATGAATAGTGACTTCCTGTGTGTTTATTCCTCTGGCGCCTGCCCCCTTTTGCTCCTTCTTCTGATAATAGTCCAGACTTGAGCCATAATCTGACCCAGAACCCCTTGAATGAATGAGAGGCCAAGTGCCTTTGAGGAAGGACCCTGGTACATGGCTAAAAATGTATGCTATTAAATCTCCCTTCCAGCCTTCCCTGAAGGGACCTGCGGCTGTTTACCAGGGTGTCTCTGCAGTGGGGAAAGGGAGACAGACTTTGAGGGGATTCCTGCACGCTGGTTCTGAGCTGACATTAATTCCAAGAGACCCAAAACATCCCCTTGGCCCACCCGTCAGAGCAAGAGCTTATCCAGGTCAGTGATCAGTGAGGTCCAGTCTGTCTCACAGTGGGTCCATCCAAGTCAACACACATGCATGCATGTGTGTGTCGCTTCAGGTTCTGGAATGCATCATTGGATAGACACACCCAACAATGGCAAGGTCCTCACATTGTTAATAGACCTTGTCCCCAGCCACAGGGGTGGTCTGTCCTCCAGGCTGGGCTAGTTACAGCACCATGTCCCCTGGGCCACCATGGTGATTGCTCCAGGCTTGAACATGTGACCCAGATCAGCCAGTGGGAGCCTTCCCTCTTCTTCCCCAGCAGGAGCTGGCGGGGCTGAGGGGACGACCTGTGCCTGCCAGCCGCTGTGGCTGGGGTCTCAACGCAGGTGGGCTGAGAGGATGAAGCCGGCATCCAGACGTCTCACAGAAGCCCTGCATCAAGTTTTCCCCGTGGCCAGGCCTACCCTTGCCCTTTCTACTGGCCGATGATATAAGCTAATGAACTCCAACAAGCCAGTGAGAACTTGAGCTTGACTCTAGGGTCCTGAGTCAAATGCTGGGCTGGGACTCCTCCGTTTTCCCCTTGAAATCTCTCTCCACCTCGATCCACTCTGCTCTGTGTCCATGGAAACAAACCTGTGTGGCTTCCGTTTAGATTTGGCCACTGGGGAGTGCTGGCACGAAGGGTGGAGGGAAGAACATGTATTCCCTCCATTGCCCTTTGGAGACCTGGGGTCGGAGTGTTTTCTGTAGCAGGTGTTCCAGCCTCTGCCGGGCGGCCCTCTCCCCGCAACCTCTGGTCCCCAGGTTCTCAGCGGCTCCTCTTCCCTTGGCCCAGGGGTAACGCTGCCCTGACGTTATCAGCTCCTGGTACTGCACGATCCTTTATGGCTTCTTTATACTCTAAGTTTTTGAATACTGTTGCTTCATTAAACTATTCTCAAATCACCCAGCGTGAGGATGCATTCTCCCTCCTGGTGGGCCCTGCCAGCTACATACACGACATGATTGCTTCACCCAGACCCCTCGGTCTAAGTGGACAAAATGTCATCACGAGATGATCTCAACCCGAGAGCTGGGGGCACGCCTCCGCCCAGGCAACGATCTCGGGGAAGTGAACTGAGGAAAAGGGAGCAACCGCTCAGTAGCCTGTGACTGATCAGTTAGTGGGGGGAGCCCTTCTCACTGGGATCAGTGCCCTTACTCAAGGGGCTCCAGAGAGCTCCCTCTGCTTTTCTGTCATATGATGACAGTGACAAGACAGCCACCTATGAACCAGGGGTTGGGTTCTCATCAGACACCAAACCTACCTGGCTTGATCCTGAACTCCCAGCTGCCAGAGCTGTGGGAATAAACTTCCATTGTTTGTAAGCCCCCAGTCTGTGGTATTCCATGATAGCCTGAAGGGACAAACATGGTCCATCCAGCAGCAGCTCATCCTCTGCTGGAAGCACGTCGCGATGCATGATTCCTTCCCTTTTTTCAATTTCAATTTAATCAAATTTGGCAGGCGCTATAGACAAGTGCACCCATCTTAATTACATGGCTTGATGAACTTTCACAGACTGAGCCCCCCGTGTGGCCAGAGCCCCAAATCCAGCAGTAGAATGTGACGGGCACCCTGGAAGCTGCCCTCATCCCTTCTGGGTGCAGACCCCTCACCAAGGACATGGCTCTCCTGGCTTCTGACTCACGTGTGCAGCACACAGGTCTGTGCTTTACAGCTTCAGTAAGTGGGACCACAGAGGATACACCCACTAGTGTCTGGCTTCTTTTGCTTATTTGTAAACTTCGTCCCTGTTACATGCCTTTGTGGTCTGTGGCCATTCTATGGACGTGTCGGTCTACTGTAGATGGACATTTTTCCTAGCTTTTGGCTATTATTAATTATACAGATATGAACATATTGGAACGTGTCTCTTGGATTACAAAAGCAGCCGCGTTGCTGCACCACTGGAAGACTCTAAGGATGAATTTACGCATCCCTTGCGCTTTTCCAGAGCCCCGCCCACATTTGTGTACTGCCTGATTCTTACCCTAAGCCTCTGATTTCTACAGCATTCATGCCATCGCCACCTCCCTGAAGCCCGATGGACACAGCTGCTGGAACGGGGAGTGGTTCCCAGAGCAGAATCGCAGGGATGGGAACCAGGTACTGCTGCTTTGATCTGAGCAGATTAGGAGACACTGATGATGCAGGTGCCCAGAGGCTCGTCCTGTGGTGGCTGAGTTACAACTCGAACTGAGCTCACAGCCCTAGGGCTTCTCATGTTAAATTAGAGCTACACCCAAGTGGCGGCTCAGCTCCTACATCTACCTCATTTTTCACTTTGGCTTTCTGTAATTAATTAGTAACATCTGGATCCCAGTTCCAGCTTCCAGGAGAGAGACCAACGGGCTGGCCTTGGCTTGGGCTCACACATCTGTGGCTAGCTAGCATTTTGGTGCCCAATTAAAGGTAGCCATGATGGCCGATGGCAGAGGACATTTCTGCAAAGAGAAAAATATTACAGGTTTGCAGAGGTTAGAGGAGGCAGGAATGAGTGTGGTAAACTCATCATTTCAAGGGCCCTACTTCTTCCCACCAATGATCAGTTTTGTTGTGTCTTATCTTCTTCCTGCCCCCATCAGACTCCCTCAGCCACGACCTGCTCTCTCATAATACGACTGACCATCTGTGCAGATCACGTGGCCAAGTTGCTTTCAAAATTAGCACCTATTATCTGCTAAGAGAAAGGCGAAGAGGCTGAGATTGAGAGTGGAGGAATGGGCGGCGGAGCACATGGAGGGGGCTATGGGGAGGACCTGGGGTTTCCCAACAGCCACTTTGGTGCTCACCTGCAAAATGGGAAGACTG